TTTTATATAAATATCTATCTCAGTCTTATCTATCTATTTCAACCTTTTCTTACCTATGTATCTCAGTCTCTCTCTCTCTCTCTCTCTCTCTCTCTCTCTATATATATATATATATATATATATATATATATATATATATATATATATATATATATATATATATATATTTAGTGAGGGCAACGGTACAATAATTTTGCTTAATATAATTCACTTATCAATATTGAAACAGATATATATATATATATATATTTGTTTCGTTAAAAACGACATATCAAAAAGGTACTACAGTTGAATGAACTTTTATTTAAACAAACTTTCTTAGATATTCTGACAAATATAACCTTAACACTTTCTGGACAAAGTATACAAAACTGTCACTAGCAAAAACTTTTTTCCACCTTTTCATTTTAAAAAGCGAATGTCCATTAGGTACAAAATAGCTGGATAATCAAAATTTCTAAATAGAGCTCACCAGAACTCATCCTCAGACTACTAGTTTTGTTTTTGGTTTCCTTAATAACGTTAAACAAACACTAATTAACAATGGTTTCATAATTGATATTATAGACCAACAAATTAGAATTTTTATTCCTCCACCAAAGCAAGTAATTTTAGTCTTTTTTTGAAAGTGGATGCAACTAAAAATCACTTACACATTTATTACTAAAACCAAATTCATATTAATTACAAGTAAATGAATCTGTGTTTAAGACATATTATAAATGGAAATATACTCACTCCTATTGACCCGTCTGGAAAACAAACTTATTATCTATTATAAAAAATTTAAGACGGCCAACCTTATCCTCAAAAATAACAAAACACCAACGAACTCAAAATTATAAAGAGCGAACTTTATCTATGAGTTCAATGGTGTTTTAAGGAACTTTGTTCCTCATAAACCGGACGTCTTAAATTTTTACATCGGATAATAACCACATTTTTATCCAGACGTCTTACATTACATATTTCTTTATCACAGTTCCATCATTCATCATTTAAACACACACATTGGTTTTTGTAATAAATGTGTATTGATTTTTTACTAGTAGAAAACACTAATATATTAACTGCATCCACTTGCAAAAAAATTCTAAAAATAATGGAAGTCTATAATAAAAAAAGAAAAGCCAACTGTTAACAATATTTGTTATGAACGTTGCCACAAAGTTCTAACTGTATTCGGAAACCAAAAGGATGACTACTGGTATGAGCTCTAACATACATTTTTTACACACTATTTTTGATAATGAATATCCATCAAATGAACCATCCTTGATAATGGGTAAAAGTATAATGAAAGCGCTGAAAAACAGAACATTGGACAGTTCAACACACTATGTCCAGAAAAGAAGGCTTTTTCAGAACACAAGAAAAATTAAATAAAAATTTCTCAACTGTAGTAATTTTGTCTGTCGTTTTTAACGAAACATGCATAAAGGAAGGATTGCTGCCTAATTATACAAATATCAAATTACACGACCCGGCAGCCAACAAGGAAAATAACACCACTACATTCAGGAAAAACCTCGTCTTACGACAAATAAAATTAGCTCAAAATGAAATCCAACATTTAAACAAAGAAATACACAAACATAACACTACACTAAAAAACACTTTGACCGAACCTGAATATAATGAATCACTGTACCACCTGAATCTTAGCATCAACCAGCACCAACTCACACACAGACAAATAATTACAAAAAAACTGTGTAAATTATATCAAGGAAATATTTTATTACCCAATAGTGAAGACAAATATTTAAATTTATCCAACCATAAATTAACAGATGACCAAAAAGAATTTCTAAATTTAGGTCCAAACTGCCACATCCAATCTAAGTTGGACCTTATCACCAAGACAACCGAAATTGAAATTTTATACCAATCACTATCCCAACTTTCCACGCGTGGTGACATAGCAGTACACCCTGACATGAAAGACTTACTCAAAGCTGAGGGTTTGAAGAACCGATCCCCCGGCACTAACCATAGTAGTATTTTAACACCAAAACTAAAAAACGCTGCGAAAGATTTAAAAAACAACGCTGACATTGTCATCAGACGCGCTGATAAATCTAACACATATGTTATAGTCAACAAAAGCTGATTACCAGCAAAATTAAAAGATATCGTTGATGACCGATCTAAATTCACCAAATTGAAACGAAATCCTACTGAGAATTTAAAAGGTCTGTTAACAAGCTTTATAACAGCTCACAACGCGGAAGTCGATTCCCTGAAAATTCAAAAATAGTTGGAGATTACCAACCGGGATACCTATATGGAAACATAAAACACATAAACCAGGATACCCGCTACGACCAATTATTTCCCAGATACCAACACCTATCTACGAGCTATCAAAATTCCTTAACGATATCATCACTCCATACCTACCTACCAATTACAGCATCACCTCCACCCACGAATTCCTACAAATTTTAAAAACTACAAATGGAACAAATCAAGGTATAATAGCGTCACTGGACGTTGA